CCGGTTCAACTTTGCTTGTGCAGGAGTTCATGGTGTGACAGATCTGGGCTTTGTCTCTTAGCACGTAGGCACCATCCTCACTTGCCGCTCAAACCCCCTCCGGGCTGCACACTTTTTCACACCTTACACCAAATTGTGTTTTCTCTTTGAAACGGGAAATATAAGAAATTATCTCCCCCCAGCCCCAACACCTACTGGCAGCTATAATATAGAAAAAAATAATATTAAAGTTGAGAAGCAGAAGGAGCTGCAGAGGGGGGAGGCAAGTGTCTAGAGAAGCAGACGGAGTTGGGAGGGGAACCCCCTGGATCTATCAAATAAATAGAGCAGAAATCTTTCTTGCTTGGCCTTTGTGGTGTTATTATTAGAACAACCACGCCTGAGTGCTCTAAAGCCGCACAACCTTCAAGCATCCACATCCAGCTCTGCTACAGCAGGATCCTTTTTCTGCTTTGCTAAAGGAGGGAGGGAGAGTGAATGAGAGGATGAGAAGATGAGAAGGGTCTATAAATGATAAATACGATCAACTTCGATAAAACAGCTATTTGGAATCCTTCAAAAAATCTTCTCATGAGAACAGCCATTAGTGTATGTCTGTTTGACATTGGTTGTCAGGAAACCAGCCAACGTTAATGGATCCGCAGAATGTAATGGAGAATCCATTTAAATGGTCTCTTGTCGTTTTGTCATCCCACAAGACAAAAAAACAATTACTTTAACTCAGGAATGAAATGAACATGATAGTTTATATGATTCACTTGTACATTCTAAATTGATCAAAGCGCACCCTAAAAATATATTAACAATCTATATCTGATGCCTGAAGTGCAGCATTTCCTATATCTGTACAGGCTTTTTTTCTCATTCACTGTGGTGTCCAGCTGTTAATAATTTAAAGACTGTGGCTTTACAGTTTCTGTACTGCTTTATTTATTATGCGTGTTATGATGATGCTGAGGGGCTACAGCCACGCGCAGGCTCGGCATTGTAAAAACAGCCTGCAGTGTAAAACACCGAGTGAAAGGAAGTGCTGGCTGAAAGAGATACCTTATCCCCATTATTACAGAACCAGGACATAGGGAATCTTAATATTTAACCCAGGCTCTGAGCAGAAGTATATGGTGAAGCTTTGACTGAACAGGTCTTCTGGTTGTCAGTCCAGTGGTCTTTGACTGATGAATTCCCCGCCACAGGGTTGGCTTTTTTCTTTTAGTGGAGGTAAGAGATTCAGCCCTGTGCAGAAAATTAGATGTGCAGTGGTCCTGAAAGCTCACAGTCCGCTCCCGCGGTTGCATCCTCTTCAGCTCGTAGCAATGGTGCCCAGCTCCCAGGGGCGCATGCCCAAAGAGTGGGGGCCAGGCGAGATGCCATTGCAGGAGCTCAGGCAATGTGCAAAGGACATGGAGGGGCATGCGCGAAGGACAATGTGCAAGGAATGAAGTGGAAGTGGGTCCCTTTATTTTGGCAGGAAATCGCACCTGGTAGTTCCCTTCAGAAACGGTGCAGGCTCACTTATTTACCGGTGAGCTTCTTCCCTCTCTTTCCCCTTTCTGGGAGGTTTTTCCAGAGCTTCGCTGCTCTGAGGTTGGGATGCTGTTCTTCAAACATCCAGCCTAATTGCATTCATGGCGGGTTTATACTTATTTGTCCTTGGGCCAGCATTGTCCTCTACCCTACCCGGCGCTTCTCCCTCCTTCTGAGCTTCTCCCCCACCGCAGGCTGAGAACATTCATCCCCTCGTGGCTTTTTTGCCAGCTCTTTTAGTTTCTATTCTGGAACGCCTAAAAAATCCACTCCAGCTTTTGAGTATTTTAAAGGACCGTTCAGTTCAGGGCGTATTGTGCAATCTTTCTGCTTTCTTGGTGTCACTGGGGCATATTCCCTGACACAGTGAATCAGAGTTCCTGCAGGGAGAGGCAAGAAGATACAGATGTGCGCTGGCTGGGGCCGTGGCACAGGGTTCTGTAAGCTTCTTAGTGCCCTATCATTTGAAGATAAGCAATGTATTTGTGCTCTATTTTTCTTCCGGTACAGCACTACACACAGCTCCGCCGGGTTTGCCGGCTAAGGGAGACTTGTTGGATGGGGAAGAGATCTGTTTTATCTGTGAACAGCAACGTGTGTCTACACCAGCAAGTGTGTAGCAGAATTGTATTAGCTTGGTTTCATTTTTAAGTCTCATGCAGAGTGTACTAACCCAACTCCTACTCTTCTTATTTGTAAAACTCTGCTGCCAAAGCCAGAAGAGCTTTCTACAAGTTAATTTTTGCAGCGAAATCTATTCTAGGCTAATGAAATGTCTGAACATTTCATAAGTAGGTAAAACTTTAGACTCACTTACGGAGCTCTGTCACAGACAACTACTAGAGCTGCAGTCTAGACAGTTTTTTTTCTGGGAGTAGGAAGGAACTGCTTGTGCCTGCCGTTTCATTAGCCTCCAGGGTACAATTTGTGATCATGAATATCACATATCCTCAGCAATATAAAGAATGGGTGGGGTATCATTACTATCACTTAAAAATTTTTGTCCTGAGATGAGCTTCCCAAGGAGGCAGTGCGGCTCAGAACAGGATCAGGGCAAGTTGCTTTGTGCCTCGACACCTTGTCTGTAAAATAGACATAGTGCATATATTTCTTTTACCCTCAAGGGGTAAAAGAAATATAAAAATCAGCTCATGCTAGTGAGATATTCACCTACTGTGGTGGTGACAGACAGACAAGCCATCAAAAGCTCTACTTGCAATTTGGCAACATTATGTTATTACAATGTTGATAATTTAATTAGTAAATTCTCATGATGAACAAACACCTACAGGTTGCCGTCATTCATTCTACAAACCCCCCTACTATCACTCATTTTTTTTCTCACTCTGGTGCCGTTCCTTGCACTGACACCATGGCCAGTCACATGGAGCAGCACTGCAAACATGCTATAACCTGAGTGAAACCTCACCTGCAAAAATCCACTGAGAGGCACAGTAAGGCTGCCTCGTGGACACAAAGTTTGGGGTCCCTTCAGTGGTGCTGAAGCTCTGAGGACCCAAACTTCAGCAGGTCTATCACCACGTTATACTACCACTTCCATTGTGACACCCACAAAGTTTTGTGAACTAATTTTTTTTTCTTATGGAAACTGATAGAGTCTGTCAGCATCCTGCACGTGGCAGTATGGTTCCTGGGTTTCTCCCCTTGTGTCTGCTCCCTCCTTCTTCTTCTCCTACTGTACTTTCCCAGTTTCTTTCTCTATACAAAACACTGGTATGCCTTCAGCCCAAGTGAATGTTGTTTTGCATTAAGGAAAGTGACACAACCAGAAAGAGCAAAGCATGTCCACCAGAGAGCAGCTCTCTGGTACGTTGCACTGATCCCCCTCAAAAAAGGGCGACTGCTCCTGCAGGTCAGAGAGTGCAAAGCATGCAAAGTAGATGGGAGCCGTGAAACATGCTAGTTCCATGGCTAGAGACAACATACTGCTGTGGACGTCCTGCTACCAACCCCTTTCTCTGGCTCGGCTTCCCCCTCAGTGGTGTCCCACAACAGCAGCATGTCCCTTCTCCTTCTTTTGTGGGAGTGGCGAGGGCCCTGCTGGGCAAGGGCTGGGGGCTGCCCTTGTCTGGAGTGGTAAAAGCAATGTAAAGGGAGGCCCCGGCTGCAAAATACTCATCATCTCAGTGGACAAGGTGGAGGCTGGAGAAGGGGGCTGGCACACAGGCTGGGTCAGTAACACAGAGTTACAAATCCCTGATAATGTTCTTTGTGGAAGAGGGCTATGGCCATCAGTGTTGCGCGGGACCGTATTGAGATTGAAACCGCTTCTGCTCTGCTCATGGCAGCTCCTCCAGGCTCTCCTGCCAGAGAGGGGAGATGGGAGGGAGAACGGGGACAGGGGATACTGCCCTGCTTGAGAGAGATGAGGGCAAAGGAGAGGAGCATGTGGCCAGTGGGGGGACCAACTCAAGGCATGCTGGCCTTTTGGCTCCTTGCTGGGAAGGAACCCCAGGAGGTACCTCCACCACCCTTCCTCCTGTGCATGAGGGAGCCTGCCTGCATCGTGCTGCATTGTCCTGTAAGCAAAACAGTTGAGGCAGCTCCTTGGCGTTACAAGGAGGAGGTGACCATTTCTATCTATGACTGTAGAAGAATAAGCAAAGCCAATGCTAGAGCTGAGGACATGCCATGGGCTCTGCTGCATTACGTGGGCTGCTGAGCACAGGTGGGACAAGCCTGCTCTGAGCGGCCAGCCAGGACAGAGTGCTGGCTTCCCCCATGGCCCTCCTCTCTTGCTTAGTCCCTTGGAAAACTGGCTACTGTTTACACTGAGGTTGGGCATGTCTCCCCCAGGTCCCAGTGCTCCCAAGAAATTCTCTCAAAGTTTTAGTGGACTTGGTTCATGTTACTTTCAGAGGCAGACTTCTGGGATTTCTCTGCAGAGGAATTGAAGTTTTCCGACCCTCGGAAGTCCCTCTCTCTTCTGATAGATGACAGTTAGAGTTGCTCAGCAGGGCAGGCAGTTAATCTCAGTTGTTACGCACTGGAAGGCAACGAGCTTGCAACCTGTGTCAGAAATTAGTCGTGTGTAACATGATGCAGTGAAAGAGCATATTGGCAGGAGAATGGACCCATTCCTTCCTCTGCCCTTGCTCAAAATGTTGCTGTAGGAAGGTTGCATAGCTTCTTTGCGTTTTCATTTTGCTATCCATAAAATGATTATCCCTTCAGTCCATATATTTAACACCAATACAGTAGACTTGCACCTACTTGCCTGTATAGAGCCATCTGCAATCTGGCAAAAGGGCATTGTCTAAATGCTAAGTGGTGTAACGTGGTGTGGAAACACGGAGAAGATAATGGTCACAGTTATTTGGTGGGAGGAGAGGTGCTGTAACATCCGCAGTGCTTGTTCTTGGCACCGCTGTTCCAAGGGAGAGCCTTTGCTTTTCGGCTAGGTTGATGTAAGAGAGACTGGGAGTCTTACCTTCCACTCTGGTTTCATCCTACAGCTGTCTCCAACCTGGATGCAGAGAGCAAACTGAGTGTCTATTACCGAGCACCTTGGCATCAGCAAAGAAACATCTTCCTCCCCTCCACCAGACCGCCCTGTGTGGAGGAGCTGCACCACCACGCCAAGCAGCATCTGCGAGCCTTGCGCAGAGGTAGGTGTCTGTGCACTCTCTGGTTCCATCTCTGTCTCCGTCTCCATCTCCATCTCCACCTCCACCTCCACCTCCATCATCTCTGTCTCCATCTCCACACACATGACACCTCACCACAGTCCCCTCCAGGCAGCAGTGAGGTGCTCAGCCACAGGCACAGGCCTGTGGGCACTGGTCTTCACTGGGACTTAGAGACTCAGGTGAAGAAATAAAGCTGAAGATGTAATTTTAGCGGTAGAAAAGACTTATCCCCTCTTCAGCTTGTTTATGATTACTAGAGTAGAGCTGAGAAGGACATCATACTCTTCCTTTTTACATTCTTTGTTTATATGTTTTTCTATTAAAGTGGGTATGTCTCAATTGTGTGAGCAAATCTGTGCACTGATCCCAAAAGGATAGAGGCACTGAGAGTTTCAGCAAGGCCATCTTGTCTCCCTCTGCTAAACATACGTTAAACAATGCCTCAGCTCCAGGACAGATAAGGTTTAACTTCCCAAGGGCTGAAATTGGAGCCCAGTGGTATTACAGAGTCTCCAAAGAAACTGAGCTGTCTGCGTGGTGTTTCCGAGCACAATACTGGAGGAGACCTGCATCCTTCAAGGGTGGCAGCTGAAAGCCTGGTGATACCATGGACAACTTAGAAGGGTCAGGCAGGTGTCCCTGCTCCAGGTCAGGGAACACCTCCTGACGTCACCTGACAAACTGGAGACCTGTAGCCTCAAAACTGGATCGTGCAACACAGGGAGGGAGTGGGAGCAATCGAGGTCATAACCAGGCTCCTGGATCCCTGCCATAAAGGGAATTTACTAGGTGCCAACGTCTGGATGGTCCTACAACAGCACACTACAGGGAAGGCAACAGATGGGGGAAGGTCTGTTTTCACTGGGGACCTAACTAAGGGAAAATTCTTCCCAGGAAGCAAGTAAAAGTAGGCAAACAAGCCTGTCTTTTTTCTGTGCCATAAGGAAGGAGAAAATCGATGCAGGTCACCCTTAAAATGTTGAGTAGCAGCCTTCTGTGTTGGAAGTGCTTTGCACCAACAGCCATCATGGCCTTGTTCATTTATTATTGTTATCAGGTTATAATAATAATCGATTACTCGGATCTGCAGAGCATCTGTTGGCTGGATAAACATTCCAATTAATTACTGCATTTGACCCTCTCTGCAGATTTTAGCTCAGGAACACGCTGTGGGTGCAGTATGTCTTCAAAGCACCGCAAAGAGTGATACAGCCAAATTGCAATCAGAGTAGTGCTGGGAGTAGAGCAGAAGTTGGCTTTTCTGTTCTCCACAGTTCTGCTGTGCAGTTGTCCCAGGACCAGGCTGATCTCTGCCTGCCATCTTGTGGGCAGGAGAAATCCTGACAGCGGCGTGGGAAGGCAGCTGTCAGAAAATGCCTCATCGTTTTAAAGTTACAAATCTCAGTTTTGGCAACTTCCTGCCCTCTGCATTTAATGGCAGGTGTGCAGGGTCAGCAGGGAGCGTGGCATGTGCTGCTTTATTTTATTTTGCAAATAACAGCATATATTGGAGTGAAATTATAATCGGAAATTTACCCTAAACATGTTTATTGCGCCTGACCTATTTCTTCAATCAGAATTTCATTATCTCTTTATCTACTTAACCAGGAGTAATTAAAACTAAGCATTAGATCAGAAAACAGCTATGCTAGCAGCAAGCATTGTCGGCTGGACTGTAGCTATGTGCATCAGGTGAATCAATCATCCCCTTCCAGCAGCACTTCGTGCAAACAGTAATTATCTGACTGTCACCTAAAATTAGAGATGGGAAGTCCATGAGCATTCTTCCATTCACTTGGAATGTTTCAGAGATGGGACTGATGCTGGAAAAGGACTGAGTACTGTGAGCCCGTGGGGAAGGAAGTCTCCTCTGGGCCTGGGGTGGAGAGATCTTCACTTTTCCAGGATGATTTCCTCCATGCCAGGACACACAGCTGCTGCTGCTTCATGATATCAAGCCAATGCTGAGGATGTGGTGCTGCCATGCAGCCAGGGAAGGAAATCCTGCCTGGGGCTGTGTTTCCTTCTTTTCCCTCAGAGGAATATATTTTATATGGGTAGAGTGCAGACGTTACTGCATCCCAACGTTTCAGGGCAACAGGAGCCGCAGGTTCCCATTGGGAATCAGGCCTCGGGTCCCAAGCACCTAGAAGGTAGCTCCTTTGTTGCTTGGGATAAAGGGTATAAATCCCATTTGGGGAGAATACAGCTTCAGTGCACACACTGGGGTGTGTTGTATGAGCGTTGTTCTTCCAGGGGCTTGGATGTCCAGGAAGTGCCCCTCCCCTTCAGTTGCAACAGGGATCATAGGTACCAGTCAGTGGGGAAGAGGAGGACCTTCACCTTTGGAGTCCACATCCTGTCCGCATCTCTGTTGTGCTGTTAATAGAGATCTTCACATGTTTTTAAGACTCTAAAAGACTCATGTCTTCTTTCTCCTCCAAAACAGAACATCGAAGCCGAGGTGATAACAGAGAGCAAAAAGTCCAAGGCCCCATCGCTGTGGTGGCTCCCCCCTTTCCTCCCTTCCCTGCGATCTGCAGTCAAAAGAGGCAAGCGATAAAGGACCGGCACTTGCTACCAGTAAGTCGTTATGGCTATCATACACCAACACGTTATTAGCATTGTGGGACCTAAGTGTGACGGTGCTTCACAAGTGCCCCTACCCCCTGCCCCAACCTGTGCAGGTAAAATAGAGCGGACCTTAAAGACTCATCAGTAGCATAACTCAGGTTGCAGCTTCCATCACCCAGTCCCAGAGCGCACATTTCTATTTAGGAACCTTTTGTTTTTTGCCTGTGGCCAGCACACATATGCAGTCGTTCACACACTCCTCGACAGCCCTTCACATTCTCCACTCCTGATGTAGGTAGCACTTCCAGGACCCTCCTGTATTTTCAGAAAGTGCTGCAATTTCAGCCCTGGCATTAGCATTGCCAGAAGCCAAGAACTCAAGGGCTCTGAGTGCTGGCTTGAGGCTCACATGGGTGCAGATAGGCTCAGCAGCACTTCTCCAGCTACACGGAACTACAGTTTCCACGTATGTATGGGCAATGGTCCTGTTCTGCTGCGTCCACCTCCATGCAGTTTTTTTCAGATGCTTCATTTCTCACACATGTCCTTGCAGCCAGCCAAGCAAGAACTCCAGCTGAAGATCTGGTCCTGTATGTCTGTGCTGACTTGCCCCCGCTGCACTAATTTGAAATCAAATTAGTGTTGACAATATGATATTTATCATTGTTAAAGGAAACTCACCAGATCCAGAAATTTATCTCTGATTGTGTCCCTAATTCCCATGAGTTTCAGCAGAACTTTGATACCTCTGTTCCTCTGGGTGTTTGACCCATGAAAGTGCCATAGTAGCTAAATTCCACCCTGTGCTAAGAGCCATTGCATTCTTCAAACCAGCTTAAACTCCACAGATCAGCCCCGGATTTGACTTTTAAGTGATGCATATGCCTAATGCCAGCCCTCAGTGTAGGGGTAGATCTGCCCTGCATCTGCAGGTATAGGGACATTGGCATCTGCAGAGATGCTACACCTGTGAGCACAGTATAAGTGTGTAGTCACTGAATCGTCACCTACTTAGCTTAAAAATCTAAGTACGTTCAGCCTAATCTATTATGTTAACCATATGGAAATATTGTAATGGCAAAGGAGTCACCTGTCCAGGGACCAAAACTTCAGCTAGTCAGTCCACAGAAAAAGTTGTTTCTCATTTGAAAGCATAAAATGCATGACCAGGTTTCGATTAGTTAAACTGTTCTGGCTTTTTGGCTGGTTATCCACGTAATTTCAAGGCAAGCATCACCAGCACTGCAGGCTTTGAACTGGTTAAATTTGCAGGCCTTATGATTCAACTGAAAGAAGATATCCTGATAGATAGAAAAGAGTTGGAAGACAGAAAGGAGAAACAGGCTTACCTGTTACTTCTTTGTAAGTCATCATCAAAGCTAGTGCTATTGTAGGGTCATTGAAAGGTAAAGGAGAGGTGACCCCCCGTTATGGATCAGAGTTAGTTACGGATAATAGTTTGGACAGTATATTGAACAAAGCTCTCTTAGCTAGTATCAGATAGGGAGCAAGGCATGTCTTTTGAAATCGTATACTCAGTGGCGCAGGGCCTGAATCCTTGCTGTGCTTGGAAAACAACCAGTATGTTTTAGACATTACTTCCATCTGCAGAACACAAAATAATAATAAATAGCGAGCGACCCTCTGAGTCCTGTATTAGTTGGCAGAATTAAGTCATGCTGAATGCAGATGTCTTGGCTTTATCAGCAAGTCCACCTTTTTCTTTTCAAGAGGGAAAATACTAAGCTTTGTGCCCACCCATACTGGGCCCTTTTTTTGGAAGCTGACCAAGCTCAGTGTTCCCCTGAGGAGAAGGAAACAAGAGCTGCTTGGAGGTTGTCGTCCTATCGATTTCAAGGCATCTGGCGATGTTCTGCTTTGGTAATTGCAAATATGCCAAGGCCAGAGTACTTCAAAGTGCCTCGACCCATTTCTACGAGAACTCCTTGTTCGTGGGGCAACTGTAAAAAGAGAGAACAAGGCACGATGAAGCTGCAGATGAATGCTCTGTCTGGCAGAAGGTTATTTGGGGATTTTTACAAGACGCTACAACAATGAATAACTAATTGATATTGTGCCAGCCTTCACGACTTAATGATATCATTACAAGAGAAAGTTGAGAGTGCTGTTATTGGCTAGCTCGCCCTTTTTGGCATAAGCTTTTTGACATCTGCAAATGCGTATCTGCTTCAGGGGCTGTCGGTAATGTTCGATACCTGATTCCAGTTGATTGTATCATCTATTTGTCAATGAACTCAAGATATTAAATCCCACAAGAATTTTTATTCGTGGCAGAGCAGTCTGTTCTGTATTCCACTTTTCTGATGCACTGGAAAGGTATTGGTGAAAGCAATACTAAACAACAATAAAAGCCCCTTTCTGTATTTCTTATGAATTAGGAAAGGGATTGTTTCTTATAAATTAGGCAAGGGATCAATGAGAAGCTAGAAATTGTTTTAAAGTTACAGGATCTGATTTTTCCAATTTGACTATCTTAACACTTGCATTAAGGCACTGAAATAAGTAGCCTGATTTTGAGAAATGTCCAAATTACTACTGAGACCTGTGAGAACTATCACTACTGAAAGCTACCACAAAACAGATCACCTATGTCTGAGACCAGCCAAAGATTCCACATTGGTCCATTTTGTCTGCTGTTTAATTGCTACCAAGTAGGTGGCTATGAGTTTTTCCAAAGATCTTGCATACTGTAGAGTAAAGCTAGAGAAAATCAACCGCAACAGACGAAGATTCACTTTTAAGCATGACTATTTTTACAGGGAGGAAGATGCCAAAGTCCCACACATTGCAAGACAGACCAAATGAATTCAAGTCCAAAGCGACTAATTTCAGTGTAAATGGGTCTGAAGGGCCATTTTGGACTGATCCATCACAAGGTCATTTCTTCATGGAGAAGAAGTAGAGAAATAGAAATGACTTTGTGTCATAGGCTCTTTTGTGTCCTAGGCTCTTTTGTGTCCTGGGCACGACAAGTTTGGAGTTAGCTTTATAGTCTACTCTTGTTCCAGGAACTGCCCTGATTTATCTGATGAAAGATCCACTTAGCCCAGAGGCCAGAAGGAGATCCTTCAGGAAAAAGTATAAGAACAGGGCATGATTTATGCCATATATTACCCTATGATTTATCCTTCCAGTTTCATACAGAAATTGGTTACAGAGCTCCTGAGCCAGAGATCAAATACAGAGTAACAGCCACCAAGGAACCTGTTTGTGTTGATTTTGAGACTTATTTAATCATTTTTTTAGCAAATTTACACCTTTGGCCTCAACAGCATCCTGTGACAATGACTTCAACAATCTGTATGAAAACGTATCTTTTGTTTGTTTCATACCCGATACCTCATAATTTCATCATGTCCCTTGTAGTTCTTAGACTGTGAGAAACAGTGAGCACTGCTTCCTCATTCCCTTTCTCCATGCCCCTCCTGAGGGCAGACATGATTTGCAGACTTGATTTTTCTTTCCTATCCATCCCAGTCATTCATTTTTAAAGCTGAAAAACTCTAGCACACTTAGTCTCTCTCTGCACAGAAGAACTATACAACCAAACACATTTATAAGTATCATTCATTTAGGCATTTTTGCCAATGAAGAAAAAATAAAAATAAAAATAAAAAAACAACCAAAATAATCTGAGGAGAGTACGAGGAAGGTGTGGACTTGGGAAAATGAGGGAAATAGTCTTTGCACATGTTCCCATGACAACCCTGCCTGTAGCACTGCTGAGGCCAGTCAGTGAGCGTGAAGATGCTGTGTCATTCCAACTGCATTTCAGCCTCCTCTGTCATTTTCTCTGCATTTTTACTTTCTCTGGTTTCCCCATGTCCACCCAGCCAGGCTCTGAAATCTCAGTGCTCAAGTTCAGAATGTCATGGGGTGATACTTTCTCAAACCCCTCCTGACACAGCTGTTATAATAAAACAAGGGAGATATTGGGCAATGAACTAATAATATTTGGAAATTCACACTCACAATTGGATGAAGTTCAGTGTCCGTTTGTTCATAATTGTACTCTGAGCAGAAATCTAAGGGACAAGAACGAGGGATAAATCTAAATGACAAGAAGCAGGAGGTTGTTTTCCAACCAGGCTTTGGCTCTCCCTGAGACCTCAGCTAGAGCAAATGTGAAGAGAAAATAATGCATTAGGTAATTTATTCCTGCCATTTCAAAAATATTCTCTATGGTCTGCCTTAGCGTGCTTTGTACAGGAAAGGGAAACACAACTGAATGTATTAACTTTCAGACAGTTTTGTGCTGAAACTGTACAAAGCCTCAGTAAAAAATAACTGAGGGCCAGGCACAAGCTGGGCTATGTACTTTCTGTGAGCAAATCCTGCCCATAACTTTAAAAATAAAACCTACCTGGCATTATTCATCAGAATGAACTTGTATAGTGCTATTTGTGCAATGAGCCTAATACCTATTACCCTGTATCGTGGGATTATTATTTTGTACCTTCCTCTGCTGAAATGCCGTGTGTGGTATGACTTCTGTCAGAAAACACATCTGATTTTGGTCTTTATCTTGTCAAAACATTGGAGCAGTACATTAATCGTTAAAGGATTGTCAGTATTTTAACAGATCACATTTGTGATGCTCCAAAAGAAAAGAAAACACCCACAAGCAGGTAAAACAAAAACTTGAGAATGAAACATATGGAAATATAAATGTTGGGAGCAAGCAGGTAAGCAGGGCTGTGTTTTACAGCAGAAATAGCATGACCAGAAGTATTCCCGTTGTTTTCTCTTCAGCATCAGTTGACTGCATAAGAAAGCTGCTATACAGATACGAATTTTAATTTCTAATTAAGTAGTCAACTGTGCTCTGAAAACACCGGAGAGCTGCTAACCTTTTATTAGTGTTTCTTCTCCTTTTACCAGACCTTTAATTTTTCCAACATGTAAATCGATACCATTTTCCTTAACTCCTTGCGAGTTAATGAAGCAGCAGGAAATGGAAAGAGGGAGGTTTCACCCAGTGCCACAGAAAGGAGTCAGTACTTGACTCACACAAATGCGGGATTAAACGCTAGTTCACACTTATTCTATGTGTTACCTTTCCAGTATGTGAATAATTGCTTTCAAATGTGAAGTCACGATGTATTGTTAATAACTACATATTATTTCTGTGCTCATGTAGGGTAAAAGCATCCTGCATATATATGTTCTGTTTGCTGCTGGAAATGGACCGTATTTGAAGCTTGCTGATGCTGAAGCTTCATGCTGATGCTCTGCTTGGGTGGATATCACCCATTTTATTCATAAGGTCATCCTGGGAAGGAAATCTCCCCCACTTGGTGCTATAGAAGCCTGAAGTCAGAAATAATATCAATGCCGTATACTTTTTGTTACCTGCAACTTTTAGGCAGCAGGAGCCAGACATAATCCTCTGGAGAACACCGCTGTGCTGCTAGCTGCCTCCTGCCCTCGCCAAAGCTATGTCAGCACTGCCAGCACCGGTCCTGTGCTGCTGAGGGTTGTGACTCAGCCACCGAGATGTCCTGTGAGATAACACCTTGTCTACATGGTCAAACACGGCTGAAGGGGAAGGAATCAACTCAGCCAGGCCTAAATTTGACAAACATGTTGAGGATAAATGCTCTTGATGAGGCTTTAGCATTCTTGAGACATCTTTACCTGAAGAAAAATTTGTTCTTTATTCTTGGGTTTATGCTTTTCCCCTCATCATTGCACTGTGTTCAATACGCCCTGTGCACTAACTTTGAAATCCCAGTATCTCCAGTAATGCTATCACTATAGGTAAGGCAGGCTAGGTACATGATTTAATGCAAATGATGCTTCTTGCACTAGTCTTCCCTTATGTCATGAAGATCCCGAACAACATCTCAAAGCTTTGGGGGCTGGAAAACAGAAGAGGGGCTTAAGTGGCATTTTGTCCCTTTCCTGGCGCATTCATTTCCTCCTCCAGATCTCAGCTCTGGGACAGTAAATGGGGCAGGCCCATAAATTGTCAGGCCAGCGAGGTTGTCGACTGCTAAATTGCTTCTTTGTCACTGCACTGGTAGCGTTTAAGATTTTCATTCGTTAAGAGGGTGAATCATGTGTCCTGACTTAGGCACCTGCAAGTAACACTAGGCTCTTCCTAAAATCAGCGGGGAGAGTGTTCCGAGGTGCTTCATCTCACCCCAAGTTAGGTGAGCTGAATTGCCCTGCAGCAATGCTGCTCTCTCTTCCTCTATGGGGGAAGCCTTGTTGACTGGTTCAGACTTGGACATCTGGCTTTTTTTCTGTAGTGCACAGAAACCAAAGACTTTCACATTGAAGAGACACAGAGCACTGAGAAATCAGATCACGTGCATATGCAACCAAGATTTTTACTGCAAAGCAGTTTCACGAGCACAATGGCACCTCTGCAACTGAAGTTGATGGGATAGCTGAGAAAATAAAGATGCTCTCATTTGTCCGTGACTGCAGAATAAATCCTTATTCAAGCAATTACGCACCAGTTTGGTTTCAAAGCAGTCTTAGCCCATTAAAGAAAAATGCCTATTTAAAATATTCTGGCTTTGTATTTAACAGATTGATTATCACCGTTGCTATTTGCCAAGCACACCCACACAAAGGAAATTCACTTTGAAAACTGCCTAACTGCAGATTTGCCCATCAAACCAGAACAGCCTTGGGTATATAATAATAATTTCTTGCTTAATTGTGTGTTTACTCAGGACATTTAGAGATATTCTGGTCTTCTGAGTGAACGAGAACATTTGAAGAGCAGCAGCTCACTCTCTCCCCCATCATGGAGGTGTCGAAATGTTGAGGCTGCTGCTATATCCCAGCATGCCTCGGCTGCGCAGCAGCAGGCACCGTGCAGGAACAGGCAGTAGGTGACCTCGGGACCCCTTGGCAAGGTAGCTGTGGCACCAGCTTTCTCAGGAGCGCTGCTGACAGCAGGAGCTGAAATTTTGCTGTTCGCCTCCATTTTTGTCCTACCTCTTCATGGTAGGAACCTAGCTAAGAAGTTTTTCCTGATGTGCTTAAACAGGGACCTTAGATTTCGGCACATCAAGTGATGGCTGGGGGTACGTGTAACTGGATGGGTGTTTTCTCAGAGGCATCAGGCAGAGCAGCACACAGGGGAGGTAGGAAAGCCCTGCACAGACAGGACAGACAGATGTGTAGCCAGACCTTACTTGAGACCAGAGTCGAGGTGCCACTGTTTCTCCTGGGGAGGTTTGCCCCTGAGTGGCTTGTGCATGTAGCTGTGCTTAGAGCTTGGGGTAGGAGGTCCTTCCCGTCCTCTTCTCCTTGTGCGCTGACTAGGACCATCACAGGCCTTTGTGGGACATGGCAAAGAGTTTCGTATCCTGAACTCTTGTCGCCTCAGCAGCATTTGTCTCCCCCTGTCTTGACCCTTCCCAGAGATCCTCCGACACCTTCCATTGGGAAGTTGAATTTGAGTTCAAAGCCTGATCCTGTTAACTGCAGTCGATCTGCTCATAGCAGGTAACTGGAAATTCGGCCAGGGGACCAAGGGTGAAATCGTCCTTGGGTATCTGAAGAGTAGACTGAACTGGTTGATGTATTAAGTATCTCCACAGCCTTTGTTGCATGAACAGAGGTGTTTCTCCTGTAATAAAGGATTTTTCCCAGCTTGGAAAAACTGGTTTTGTATACTGACCTGGGTAGAAACTAACCTGCTGGAAATGTTAACTGGAAACAGACCTTTTTTGATTTCCCCCCTCTGCTCTCCTGTAAAGCTTATGGGCAGCTCATTTGGAGGCTTCCTGAGGTTTTAGTCCTGCCCATGGGACCAGGGCAAAGTAGGAGGTGTTGCCTATCTAGGAAGAGAGTAGGACAAGATGGAGAATTAGGCCTTTTGAGATTCACCACAGATTTTTTTTTTTTTTTGAGAGAAGACCATATAATGCAAAGTCTTTCAAACAGGTTTGTGGTTCATCCATCAGAGCAGTATTGATAATGACTGAGAGGAAAAACGTTCATAGGATTATTTGGCAGGTCTGCTAACTAATGCAGGGGGAGATAATAACCCCCACCGAGAAACATGTGCTAGAGCTTTCCAGTGTGATCAACAGGCCTGCTTTCTTTATCTCCTCTTCTGTTTTATTTCCTATTTCAAAAGAAGTCATCCTTCATTCCTTGGTTTTGAAAACAGGACATTGCAACAAACCACCCAGTTTCACCAGAGGATTTCGGAGATGCAGGGATTCAGCGAGACCCAGGACACTGTGGTCATCGCTGGTTTTCCTTTCAAGCCTTATAAAAAGTGACAAAAAGCCAATTGGCCATTGTCACCCTGGCACAATGGTCACAACCTTAGAGATGTAATGATAACATCAGAAAACCTTAGAAATCAATGTATTTGATAAATCACCCCCAGGACCAGCATTATTTATATTGCTTAAATACCTCATGCAAAAAATTTCCCTTATATTATGAAATAGATCATTTATAATGTAATTGGATACGTACTTTGCACTGCTTCAGCTCCAGGCAGTACACAGTGTGAGTTACCAAATCAATACAAGACATTCTTGGGACAATTTAAGCATGTCTGTACAAGGAGGTTGAACCAATTTCACTGCAGTTTTGTCTAATCCAAGTAAGAAAAATCAGTGCAGACTTCACAGGGGTCCAAACCACTCTGTGGGCACAGTTGCTTGAGCTGCATTTTGTAGAGAAGTTTTCTGTTCTGGGGAACAAACCCATCAGTAGGAAATAGGGTGGAAGTCTCAGCTTGTTTTGCCTCTGATGCTAATTTATCCGACAAAAATGATGTGCTTTTACCAGAAACGTTTTGTGTATGTTTTTAATTTTTTATTATTCTTTTTTTTTTTTTTTTTTACATTTCACATTTATAGTTTAACAGCACCCGTTCGCCCTCCCCAATTGAGTGTTGCCACATGACCCCCTGGAGTAGAAAGGTACTGGAAAAACAAGCAATCCTCAACTAACAGCCCTGTCCCACTCTTCTCCTTTCCAGATCCTAACCCTGCCTCTTGCTTGCTTTTCACTTGCTAACTTTACTGTGCTAAAAGAAGCCTTTTCTATTTTTCTCATGTCAGTAAGACACAATAATGACTTTTTTTCTTTTCTCCCCTCCTCTTTCATTCTTCATCTTGGATGGGTTTCAGGAGCTCGTGGCCACGAGGCCGCCTCCTCCTATCGCCTCCTTTAGAAGGCCTGAACAGGGACAGACTCAATCGCGTTAGCGATTGCATTTCATTCTCTTGCAATGTTTTTGCCAAACTGCCCCTTTTCTTCTTTTTTTTTTTCCCCTACACGGTAAGAAATTGTTGGGGCAATGCCAGCACGACAGCGGGTACTTATTCTCTGTCCATTTGGTGATGCCACTGTTGGGAGAGGAGGAGCTCTGGCAGCCAGGGTCACTTCGCCCGCTTTGTCCAGGGCTTCATTGTCATCCAGGGGAGGAATCGGCAACAAATGCAGCCTCTGTGTGTGTGTGTGCATCCGTGTGTGTGTGTCTGTGTGTCCCTGTGCGTGTGTGCAAGGGTTGTTTTTTTTTTGCATGCATGCATGTAACTTTTTTTTTGGGGGGATAGACAGGAAACAAAGTCTTTTGTGCTTGAAGTTTATACGAGCTATTCACGTCTGCTGGGGATCGGCACAAAAGCTGCAGGCAGAAAGAAGGCTGCAATGTTTGACTGAAATCCTACGTGGGAAAAGGGTTTTTTCTGCGGGTGGGAGGAGGAGGAAGCGTGTGTTGTCTCGGGTCTGGGGGTGCTGCGGGAGGTGACGCTGGCAAGGTAAGTAAGTGCCCTCCAACCGTTTAAATAGTAGCTGCCGAGTTAAGATCTTAAATGCTTTTGGGGACAGGGCGTAAATGCTGTTTGGCAAGCCTGAGACGGTTAATTCCCCCGGGATTTGTGAGGAGCCCGGGCGGAGGAATGGCAGAAGTACAATGGCAGCCCAGGGGTGATGCTGCGGTGTTCAACACCCGCCTGCTCAACGCCCTGCCAAGGAGCCGGGGAGCAATATTTTATCTTCACCGTGTTTGCTACCGAAACTAAAACTGGCAAATGAAGTGTAAACAGCAGGCATGAGGGGGAAGGCTGGTAGTTAAGCAGCTGGGAATTCAGGACTGAAGAGAAAGCCGGCCTGAAAGGGATTGCGCTTCATTTTTAAAAACCGAGAGGCAGACGGACGTCTTGGGCTGGACGAAGAGTTGTCACAGCTTATAGATGAATGTATTAATGGAAAAAGGGAGGGAAATTAGGCAGAAAAAGGTAAGTGTTTCTCCCCTCCATCCCTTCCAAACAAAACAGAAACTTTTTTTTTGCAAACAAAGAGACTCCCAAACCCAAGTGGGTAGTCAGCGCCACATGAAACACGCTTAATTTATTCTCTTTTACTAGATGAAATTATACCAGCTTTGCGAGACAGGGTTTTGTTGGGGGATTTGTTGTTTCTTCCAAAAGAAAACAAACCATCTGTGTTTCTTCCACTCCGTTTACTTTTCTTTCCGTTTCTTTATCTTCTGTATCTAGCGCTTCTCATAGCATGCTGTAAAAATGTGCATGGTTTCTAAATAACTCTTTGGATTTCTTCTGGTGGTGGCTACGCTTCACTTTGGCCACTGTCCCGCCAGCCTGGCACTGTTAACGCCTGCCGCTTCCCACCACGTAGCTGCTGGGTGGCTGTAACTTCTCTTTGCTCACGGTCTGAGTTTGTAAAAATGAAATGCAAATGGTTTTCTGAAGTACGGAGGGGTCTTCTTTAAAACTTTGGGCCTTCTGATGCTTGTCCTCCGATGAATGGTTATATGGGGCCAGTCCTCGCTAGTAATTAGCGGATTTGGGTGTTTCGAAGGTTGCGGATGCAAATGAGGACCCACATGTCTAACGCTGGTGGTAATTGAGGGCACGCTTGCAACAGCTACCCACAAATGGAGGAGATGTTCCGTAAATGTCACTGTGAATATGCTGACTCGTTTTCAGTATGTTGAGGTATTTTTCTCCTATTAGCAGGATGTTATTTTTCCATTGGAGAATAGCTTATGCTGTGTGACTTAGCTAGAGCAGTTCCTCCTTGCATCCCTGTAATTGATTTCTGATCTGTATGTCTGCTTTGTTTCAAAATTAGCCTCGTGTGCCGGAGTGGGAGACACTGATTTTGAATGTATTCATTTGCAGTCCCATCCACCAGAGGACGAAGATACAGATGTCATGTTAGGGCAGAGGCCGAAAAATCCAATACATAATATCCCTTCTACACTGGATAAACAAACCAATTGGAGTAAAGCACTACCTCTCCCAACTCCAGAGGAGAAAATGAAACAAGATGCCCAAGTGATTTCTTCTTGCATTATCCCCATCAATGTCACTGGTACAAATCTCTTCTATTTCTTTTTGTATTTATTGCATGGTTCAAGGGAGGTCAAGTACTTATTTTGTTTAATTTATTTGAAGTCACGGGATTGTGCAGTCTAGGGTCAAAGACCCTAGCTTGAGGATTTAGTTTCTGGAAGACAGTGGGCTAAATTCATCCCTCATGTGTGACCGTTGGAGTCACTGAAGCCACATCTAGGATTAATTTGGCCCATATTTTCGGAGTCATGTTATACAGTATAACATAACACTGGTTCTCTGTATAAACAATGTACTTTTGTTGTGTATATAACCTACAGTCTGTATTTACAAAGACCTCAAATAACTTTTTGAATGTAGCTGACTGAAATAATGCAGAAAGCCATCAAAATTAATCATATGATTATCATGTGTAGCAGGAGAAGAGAAACTAGAGAATGTAGGCTACTATTTGCAGTGCTTTAAACATGCGAGGTATGACTGTGTAGCATGCAAACCATCGCTCTGAGATCTCTTTACATGCAGCTATGCTGAAGGTATAGTAATGGCCTTTTCTTTTCTTTCTATAACATTTGGATACATTTGACTAGATTTATTTGAAAGAGAAATTGTTTATAGAAGCAGCAGGTATATCACTTATTAAATGTGATAAATGACTTATTTCCAGAATCAAAAATCAGGCTGTTTTTCTCTTTCTCTTTTTCTCTTTCTCTCCTTCCAGAGGGCTATGGTAAACATAAAGTTGATCTGAGTTTTCCTCACTAATATTTCGCACCAAGTTTTGATTAATGTAAGAGCACAAAGTTGGCTGATTTCCACCATTATAGACTTGAATATGAACAATCAGGAAAAAAACAGGGAGCTTTCAGTTAGCCTTCATCCCCCAGAGAAAATATTTGTATTTAATTGTATTTTCGCAGTGACTGGGGGAGGGGGGTGGGGGTCACAGCCCCTCACATCCCATTGCTCGTTCCTGTGTCTATCCATGGTGCCCAGCCTTCCTGCGAGACCGGCTGCGGGGTTCACCACGGTGCTGGGGAGGGCTGTATGCCCACAGTCCACCTTCAGCCCCCAGCCGAGGGGCTCTGGGCTTTTGGGCTTGCAGCACATCTGTCCTACAGCATCACAGTGATCCCCATCTGCTCCACCATCAACTGCATGAATACTCCTGGTGACAGCAGCGGAGTCCTGGTTGCCCTCCACGCTGGCAGTGGAGGTGACACTACACCGTGCTGCCAGCTTTGCCCAGACGGGGAGGTGGCAGCCAGGAGCGGGTGTCCCCACCACCAGGATGGTGATTTTAGCCAACCAGGGCCACATGGGAGGAAAGCACCACCCAGCAGAGCTGCCTGGATAGACCCTGCCGGTTGGGAGCCGGCTGGTTGAGGTGGCAGGTTGGGCACTGCCAGTAGAAATCCCCACGGAAAGTCATAGATAGTACGGCACATTTCCATGAGGTAAAGCTGGTGTTGAATGATGCTCTTTCTAGATTGACTATAGGACCCTGACTGCTGCTGTAAGCTTTCTAACATGGCTAATGTCACCTAATGCAGTTCAGAGGTGAGTTAGGTCTGGGACCAATGTTAACTTTTCCAGTAATAGCCATTTTTGCCTAGACTCCACCTGCCATACATTGGAACCAAATTCCCACTGATCAGTTTTACAGATCAAGAATGGTATGTAATCTTCTGGATGTTTATGTGTATCATTCTCATTAGCACTAATGGGAATAATTTGTATGCGTCACGGGGAGGATATACCTACCCTCTTCCACTTTCCTCTCGGAGATGACCCCCGTGCATCTGGCACACAGAGCATGTTCGGCTAACTCACAGTTGCTGGAAAACCAGCAATCATGCTGACTGATTGATTTTTTTGTTTCAAAGAGTTTGCTTTCAGTTCTCTGTTTTTGTTTTTTTAAGCTTCTCCCAACCCTGAGAAATGTTCACTTTTTTGAAAATGACTGTTGTTGGAGTTTACGGCACTTTCGTTCCATATTAAAGAAAGTTCTTCCTCTGCTTATTCCAGGGGCATTGGTGGTTACAGGACATCTGTCTGAAGCCTCTATTTCACTGTAGTAGATTTCAAGAAGAACTTTTACAAGAAAGTTACTTTTTAATGTTTTACATTGTTATGTAGTGTAATATGTATGTGTATGTCTGTGTATAATTATGTTTTCTATAATTATACGCTATTAAAATAGAGCTTCTTATCAGGATTTTTTTTTGTTGTTTTCCTTTTGTTTGATTTAGTTTGTTTGTTTTTCTTAAGATTACAAACCACTGTACCAGCAATCCTTATGTTAGTGTTTTTATGGACCTGGCACATTTTTTCTGACCTGTCCCATGTCAACTTTAGAGAGCACAGGTGTACAGTTGTGTGAAAAGCCAGCGCAGATGGGCACTGGTCTTCTGGTGGGCCTCCTTTTAACTTTGTTTTGGCGATACAGTGTAAAAAACAAAGTGAAAGACGCTTCCCTGTGCTAATGCCATGGAAACATAAAGAAAATGAGGAATTCCTGCCTATTCTGTGTGGCCGTGGTCATAAATAAGGGTGCCCATGAACTTGGGCTCCTAAATCCAAACTGAGGGTCTTGACTGACTGCGTGACCCCATTCTCAGAGTGGACTCCCACACATCCCGCCATGTGCTGAGCACTTGGGAAAATCAGGCCACTTACTGATGCACACAAATAAATAGCAGCTGCCCATTAATGTTACCTTTGGCCATGTGTGATCATCATGACGAATGCTCTCTAAACTTGCACGGGGACTTGGACCCATTTTAGCTGTCTCCTTCCTTTTTGAAATGGTAGCCCCCTTGGCATATTGGTCTCCTAAGAAGCACCCAACTACTGCAATATGGTGTTATAACCTTAAATTGTTTTCTTATGCTTAGTTGCTTAAAATAAGTCAGGCTATAGCTGAACAGATTATTCTCTGCAGACAAGTTACTGTCATTGTCGCTATGACAGATGGATAAATAGCTATAAGAAAGATGCCCTGTTACCAAGAGCTCTCAACTCTATTTTCCTTTCTGATTTTCTTTTCTTTTCTTTTCTTTTTTACTCCTTCTGTTATTTTTGGCAGACCAGGCTGCTGAGGGGGAGCTGGAATTAGATGTAAAACTGTGATATACTGTGATACAATTTACATAAGAGCTACATAAGGGCTCCCTTATGTTTATTCACAGGCTTAATCCAAGCTCACATACCTCCACTGTGTTCCAGCCATGAAAATTTGTTTACTATTTCTAAAGGCTAATGAGACCTATTTATGGGTTGCAGGAGTTGGTTTTGACAGAGAGGCTAGTATTCGCTGCTCTCTTGTTCATTCACAATCTGTACTACAGCGGAGACGAAAGTTGAGGAGGAGGAAAACCATCTCTGGCATCCCCAGAAGAGTGCAACAAGAAATAGGTGTAGTATAAATACAAATTTTCCGTAGATAGCTTTCTAACCAACTTAAATTGCAGGGATATGAGCTGTTAGCCAGCCTTCCAAAGAAACAAAACCTCGGAAGTGTAAATGCTTGTGGAGTTTGGGAATGATGTGGTTTGGTTTTTTTTATTTACTACAGTAAGCAAAGCTATATTACTCCATATGGCCTTGATGGACCGGGGGCCTTACCGAGTAATATAGATGTACGTGTTCAGCTCTTATTGTGTAAATGTTAATCAGTTCTTTTTTTTTCCATTTTATTTCTGTTATGAACCCATAGTTACGTGCATAAAAAGTAACTAGATTAAGTGAAAGTTTTTTCTTGTGTGAGGGGAGCTTAAGGTAAAGAACTGACAGATGTTGCTCAGCAAAGTGATGATGAGCTGTCACAACAGCCGGATAACTCAGTCAGATGAGCAGTTGGATATCCATCTTGCAGACAGCTGCTGGTACCCTACAGAAAACTTTGCTAAATGTTCCTTTTATTTATCACACTTGCCCTTGATTCCTTCCTTTCATTCTTTATTGCCAAGGATATTTGCCCAAAATTGAGTGGCTTACCTCAGTTGTTGTCCCAGGTAAATTAGAAGCAACTTGGTTGAGGGGAAATCCAGTGTAAAATTGGTATTAACCCAAAACGAAGCTAACGGGATCATTATTTCTCATCATCTGCACCTGAAGAGGGCTCTGGTATCTCGGTCCATTGCTGTGAAACTTGATGGGAAGCAGAAGGAATGTGTTTATCATAGGGAATAAGCAACCAGAGAACCTATGAAAGAAAGATCCTGTTGCCTTGCAAATATTCTTGGTAGTAAAGAAGCAGATAATGGAAATTCTGAACAGTCAGGTAGTCAAAATAGAATTACTTTTAGAAGCTCAGGGAGTGTTTTGTCCAGCAGCCACTCCTGAAAGCTGCCTTTAACTAGTTGAAATAGAGTGACAAAAACTGAAAACTTAATATTTATCTTAATATTTACCACAGCAAGATCAGTTCTGTGTGAGATCACATTGCAGAAATAGGAGACCTGAGATCACATTGCAGGACTAGGAGAATTTCCCTGCCTCACCGGGATGAGGTCTGCCTTTATAGCAAAGTTAAATTTGGTCCAATGCTCAGCAAGATTAGAAAAAGAAAGAATACAGCAGATAATGCTTCTTGGGTTGCTCCGCGGATCGTCTCGCGCCAGGAAATGTGGAGCTGACTCCCACTCACCCAGCTTTCCGTGTGTCCTAGATTCAGACGAGTCGCCGGTGGCGAGAGAGCGCAATGTGATTGTGCATGCAAACCCGGACTTCTCCGGCTCCAGCAGCAGGAGGTCGGGGACACGGGACTCGGAGTGCCAGACGGAAGAAATCCTGATAGCTGCTCCCTCCCGGCGGCGGATCCGCGCCCAGAGGGGGCAGAGCGTCTTCGCCTCCCTCTCGCACTCCGCCGGCAACATCTTGGTGCTGGCGGACAACGGGGATGCCGTCTTCGCTGCCGCTGTCAGCAACCGCATCCGCTCACGCAGCCTTCCTCGCGAGGGCGCCAGGGCCAGCGAGGGACATCAGGATGCCGCCACCAAGAGTGCAGGGTACGAAGCAGAGCGCTTCCTAGCCGGCCAGGAGAGGATCCCGAAAAAGGGGAAGGAGGTCTTGAGCAAGCAGGGTTCACAAGAGCACCAGCCCATTGGTTTAACTTGTCCTCAGCATCTGCACAGCCCCGAACACAGCATCGGTGAGAGGGGGAGGTCACGGCTGTCAAGGATGGCCGATTCAGGCAGCTGCGAGATTTCGTCCAACTCGGACACCTTTGGGAGCCCTGTTCACTCTATCTCCACGGCAGGAGTGCTGCTCAGCAGCCACATGGACCAGAAAGATGACCACCAGTCCTCCAGTGGCAACTGGAGTGGGAGCAGCTCCACGTGTCCTTCCCAGACGTCTGAAACCATTCCTCCTGCCGCCTCTCCTCCGCTGACAGGCTCTTCGCACTGTGACTCCGAGCTGTCGCTCAACACCGCTCCCAATGCCAACGAGGACTCCAGCGTCTTCATCACAGAGCAGTTTGGTGACCACGTGGACAAGGTCAGGGGCCACAGGGCGAGCTCCTTCACCTCCACCGTGGCAGATTTACTGGATGACCCCAACAACAGCAACACGAGCGACAGCGAGTGGAACTACCTGCACCATCACCACGACGCCTCCTGTCGCCAGGACTTCAGCCCTGAGCGCCTGAAGGCCGACAGCCTGGGATGCCCCAGCTTCACCAGCATGGCCACCTACGACAGCTTCCTCGAAAAGACCCCCTCTGACAAGGCAGACACTAGCTCACACTTTTCTGTGGATACCGAAGGATACTATACCTCCATGCACTTTGACTGCGGTCTCAAGGGTAATAAAAGCTATATTTGCAACTATGCAGCTGCGGGCTCCGAGAGCGGCCAGACCGGCAGCGTGACCTCCAGCCTGGCTGACTGCGCCTGGCAGGAGTGTGTAGGCCACAGGAAGCAGGGACGGCAGAGCATCTCGCTGAAGAAACCAAAGGCAAAGCCAGCCCCACCAAAACGCAGCTCGTCTTTGAGGAAATCGGAGGGCAGCACCGACCTTCCTGACAAGAAAGAACCAAAGATCGGTGGCGGGCAGCACGTCTCTCACACCGCCAGGGAGATGAAGCTGCCTCTTGAGTTTTCAAACACACCTTCCCGAGTGGAAGGCCCCAACCTGCCAGCCAAGCAGGAGCTCCCCTGGGCGAACCAGGGTGACGGTGGGTTAAAGGACACTCCGTTTGACACCGCCGATATCCCCTCCTTTAAAGACGAAGGTGCTGAACAACCTCACTATGCAGACCTCTGGCTTCTGAACGACTTGAAATCCAGCGATCCTTACAGGTCCTTGTCCAATTCCAGCACCGCTACGGGTACTACAGTCATAGAGTGCATCAAGTCACCGGAAAGCTCCGAATCCCAGACGTCCCAGTCCGGGTCACGAGCCACCACTCCATCCCTCCCCTCCGTCGATAACGAATTTAAGCTGGCCTCCCCTGAGAAGCTGGCGGGGTTAGCCTCCCCCTCCAGTGGGTACTCCAGCCAGTCGGAGACACCCACCTCTTCTTTTCCAACGGCTTTCTTTTCGGGACCCTTGTCTCCAGGGGGGAGCAAGAGGAAGCCAAAAGTACCGGAGAGGAAGTCGTCGCTGCAGCAGCCGCTCCCGAAAGACAGCACGGCCTCAGTGAGCAAAGACCTCGAACTTCCGATTATACCTCCTACTCACCTCGACCTAAGTGCTCTTCACAACGTCTTGAGCAAGCCCTTCGCTCACAGGCACCAGCTGCATGCCCTCAGCCACGGCAAGCAGAGCGCCGTCGGGGAAGCCCTGCACCCCAGCCCTCCCTCTGCCCTCGCCATCACGCCCTCCGTTCTCAAGTCTGTCCACCTGCGGGCAGTCAACAAGCCTGACGGGGGGAAACAGAAAGGCAGCACCCCAGACCTGCTCTGCATACAGGAGACCGCCTTGATGGCAACCGATGTTTCTCTGGGCAAAATGAGGCCACTCTTAGCTAAGAAACCAGTATCACGCCAGTACTCCACAGAGGAGGCCATAATGTCGTACATCGATGCTTCCCCAGCAGAAGGGGGACCTGGAAAGCCGGCTTTAGAGAAAAGCTCCTCTTTCAGCGGGCAGAATAGCTGCGAGCGAGAAGCTGTAGCTTCAGCAGGCGTGGGTCTGGTTGACATCAAACCCGGGAAGGATCAAACACAGCTGGCCTCTGAGCGCTTGCCGGAGAGCACTCTGAATCAGACGTGTGCCGTCTCCGCGGATGGGTTTCAGAAGGGCTCAGCTGTCCTTGTAGGTGATGACGAAGGAAAGAAACCCGGCCAGGGAGGAGAAACAGAGCACAACTTTCCGCAAGCGCAGGCTCAGCTGGAGCTCTCCGCAGGCAGCGAGGGGAGGCTGGAAGCCGGGCCTGGGGGCAAAAGCCCCAGTCAAGCTGAGGGGGCGGCTGTCAGTGATCAGGTTAAGCACCAACCCGATGTAAGCCACCATGTGCCTGGGAATATTGGCTACGAAGTGGAGGCAGCAGCAGCGAATTCACCCAGCGAAGTGAGTTGCAAGCAGGAAAGCGGTATCGCATCAGGTATCCCAACCAGAAGTGCCTCTGATGATGGCAGGGCGGACGAGACGGCGGGCGGCGTGGAAGAGCCTTCGCTGAAAGGTCAGTGGTGGTCTCTTTCTGTGTTATACCCTACCACCTGCCCTCTGGCGTGACCAGTGGTGGAGTCAAGAAGCAGGCTGGAGGCGCAAATCTGCATATAGGTTTAAGGACAGAGCCCCCCTCTGCCACGATCTGTTAGCTGGCTGGCCAGCCAGCCCAAAGATATTTTACGCTTTTTCAGTGTATTCAGAGTGTACTTCTCTGAAGTTTATTGCCTCCATTGTGCTGCATTTCAGATGAAGAGAGAAAAGGGAGGAGCACTAACCCTGGGTACAGAGGAGCCTTATTATCTCAGCCACACAGTAAACGGGAGACCCCGGGTTCAGTCCTTAGCAGTGCCCCCGTTATGTGCTCCAACATGCAATGTACACAATGTTTAGAGGATAAAGTCTGTATGGTGGTATTGGCCACTCGGTTGTGAACGGAGCTGGTGCCTCGTGTGGGCGGTGCTGTTGCAAAGCGTGGTGGGGGTCTGACTCATGGCATGGCCTCTTTCCTTGTTTAAGAGTCTTCTCCAAGCGACGAGTCCATCGTGTCTCCGCTGAGTGAGGAGTTGCAGGCTGACGCTGAGGACGTCTTTGTGTCTCCAAACAAACCCCGCACTACCGAGGATCTGTTTGCAGTCATTCACAGGTGACCTACCCCTGCGGCAATGGGGAATGGTAACATGCAACCCTGCACAGTTGCCCATTAACAATAGCTGCGGGATGGTTAGTCAATGTCCTGAAACTACCTTCTTTAGTTTAATGAGTTTAGTTTTCTGAAAGGCCGCTTCATTATGTTCTGGTGTGTATCTCCATGCCATGTGTAGGATGCTTTACAGATAAAAACATCAGGCCGTTCTCGCTAACATAAACATATGTGTCTCCAGTGAAAACGACCTGCAGTGGTTCCTGCCTTCTGCCCACTAGCTCTGTTCTGGTCAGTGAGTCGTTGTAGCGAGAATGACGAGAAGGCATCTCTTCAATGTGACAGTATTTTGTATTCAGCTGAAATTTGCAATCACAGCTGAAATTACAGATTTCTGATACTGAATAGGTTACACTGAGTATTATTGTTACCTAAGAGCAGCCCAGAAGGCCAACTGTATCCTGGGCTCCATCAAAAGAAGTGTGGCCAGCGGGTCAAGGGAGGTGATTCTGCCCTTCTGTTTCACTCTGGTGAGGCCCCACCTGGAGTACTGCATCCAGCTCTGGAACCCTCAGCACAGGAAAGGCAGTGACCTGTTGGAGCAGGTCCAGAGGAGGGTCACAGAAATGACCAGAGGGATGGAACACTTCTCCTATGAGGACAGGCTGACAGAGTTGGGGTTGTTCAGCCTGGAGAAGAGAAGGCTCCAGGGAGACCTTATTAGTGGCCTTCCAGTACCTACAGGGGGCCTACAGGAAAGCTGGAGAGGGACTTTCTACAAAGGCATATAGTGATAGGACAAGGGGTAATGGCTTTGAACTAAAAGAGGGAAGATTTAGACTAGGTATAAGGAAGAAATTTTTTATGCTGAAGGTGGTGAAACACTGGCACAGGTTGTCCAGAGAGGTGGTAGATGCCCCATCCCTGGAAACAAGGTGAGGTTGGACGGGGCTCTGAGCAGCCTGATCTAGTCAAAGATGTCCCTGCTCATTGCAAGGCGGTTGAACTAGATGACCTTTAAAGGTCCCTCCCAACGCAAACTATTCTGTGATTCTAAGACTCTGTATGCATTGTCATCTTTGTAAAGAGCTGATTGTGCACACATTGCTTTGGAAAAGCTGGGTGAGGTTGAGAGGGACTGTGTGGCTCAGTGCCTCATTCATTGCAGAAGAGCTATCACAGCTTCAAGTGCTGTTAGTCACTGCTAGTCTCCAATATTTGATAGAGGAATTACGAGAACTCTAACTAACATGAAAGCACGGTAATTTGCGAAACTCCAGACCAACATTAAGTGTTATTCTACAAAGATAATATATGAAGGAGTGTTGTTTTGTGTTTTTACAGATCAAAAAGGAAAGTTCTTGGGAGAAAGGATTCTGGAGACCTTTCTGTAAGGAACAGATTAAGAGGTTCATCTGGGACTAGCAGCCAGCCCCCTGCCAGCAGCACACTGCCCGCCAGCAACATGCCACCAGCCGGCAGTGTGGGCACTACCCTAAGCAGTCAGAAAAAAAAAAGGAATGCCAAAAGTCCAACACATCCAATGAGGAGTTTAAATTACTGCTCCTTAAGAAGGGCAGCCGATCTGATTCCAGCTACAGGATGTCTGCCACGGAAATTCTGAAAAGTCCTATTTTGCCCAAGTCTCCCGGAGAGCTGACGGCGGATGCCCCTCAAAGCCTAGAGGAGTCTCCCCCCGCGGTGAGCCCCGATGCATTGTCCCCGCTCTCTCCCTGCTCCCCCAGGGTCAACGCAGAAGGATTCTCCTCCAAGAGCTTTCCCATGTCGGCATCTTCGAGAGTGGGGCGCTCCCGGGCACCACCAGCAGCGAGCAGCAGCCGGTACAGCGTGCGCTGCAGGCTGTACAACACGCCGATGCAGGCCATCTCCGAAGGAGAGACAGAGAACTCGGACGGCAGCCCCCACGATGATCGGTCTTCTCAGAGCTCAACGTAGGCTGCACGGGTGCCAGGGCCGGGCTGCTGACACCACTGGGGCTCTGTAAGGATGTGAATATAAGAGGCCAATGCTGTAGCAGTCAAAAAAAAAGAAAAAAAGAAAAAAAGAAAAAAATTGCAGGGCAATATCGATGCTTAAATGTGTTTGTGTTTGTAAGACGCTGGGGAAACAGAGGACTACAGCTGTAGCTATTTATTAAGTTACATTTTCTAAAGTAGGAAGATATGCAATGTCTGCTCTGGTTTCTTTTAGCTTCATTTGGTTTGTTCCACTCTCATTTCTGTTGTCACTGTAGATTTCAAGGCTATACACATTCCATAGAGTTAAAAGTGACTTTTGGTTTGTTTTTTTTTTTCTCAAAGCTGCCCATCTAGAAACAAATCCCTCACTGTAGTGCTTCCCTAAGGATAAAAAAAAAAAAGAGAGAGAAAATGCTCTTAAGGATTGGTATTTTTCTACACTAAAATGAGCTGAAACAAAATTTAGAAGAAATTAAGAAAACATATGTAAATACCATATTTTTGATAAAAATTTGTAAATAGAATTATCAAGAAAGTGGACATGTGGCAAACGATTTACTTCATAACAACTTTGTTTATAGAAGACAAAAGAAGTCAAATGTAATAACTGTATTCTGTGAATACCATTTTCATATCAAACATAAAAAATTCACATGGCCACCGATAACCACTTTCAGTACCACAAGCCTGAAGGACGACGTTGAGCAGTGGAAAGGAGGAATTCTCTGCCTTAGGTGAGGAAATGGAAAGGCTGACTCTGATGGGCTTAAAGTAACCATTTGTCTTTCTAAGGCAGCTCCGAAGAAGCTAACTGGAAAGCGCAGCGGGGAGGGTAATGGTGAGGATCAGTGGGGAAGGTGAGCGTGCTCCTGACAGAACAAAGTCGTGTCTGAGGCAAAGGCCCAAAGGGTCCCATCCCACAGCCTCCCCTGGGCCTTTATTCTAGCAGGGATCGCTTCAGAGAGGAGAGATGCAAGAAGAAATAGTACTTAACTTTCATATCCCTATTAGGCTATTGGGATGCATAACACGGTCATAACCTGGTAACTATAATCTTTAAACACAATTAGTTTCTGGTTTGTAAAGGAAACAAATAAATTATAAGCATGCAAGAAGCGCTTTCGATTTATCAGTAAATATCCGCGATGAGTTTTCAGTGAAGCTTTCTCTTTGTGCTGATGAGATTCATGCTACCTAAATATTTACAAAAATGACACTGTGAAAAAGTAGCTGGGAAATAGGTATGTGTATGCATTATTTATATTCATTGCTGAGCTGGGAAGGGGAAAGCTCTGGTTCATTGTGCCAGCCACGTACAGTTGGGATCTTGTCTGGGTTTACCAGAAACGCGGAACAGGGTGGGGGACTGGGGTGGGGTGGGAAAGGAGACAAATCAAAGCAGCTGCTTTGATACCAATGAAGGCAGGGAAATAAAAGCTGAATTACTTGAAGTTACTTGAATTTTCTTGTCTTAAAACTGCAAGAACATGTACTTTTAAAACTTAACCCGTGAGTCGCTTTATACTTTTAATTTTTCAACAGAATAAAACTAACAGACCTGATTCTCCGTTGGGCTTTGAGCCACCACGGTTTCCATTGATGTAGCCCTGTCCGTGCTACGCAGAGAAAGCGGCCTTCTTTGTCCAAAATTGATGCAGTTGGTGTTGATTGCTGTAGGAAATGGTTTGGAGTAGAGGAAAGGTTAGTGCAGAGAAAATAGTGCGAGGAGGAATGTGGTGTGCAGTGGGACAGGTCGAGTAGGATGGCAGAAAGAGCGTACTTTGGTACTAAAGAAATCAACTAAAAGCTGGCTTTAAGCATAAGTAAAGGATAGGGAAGCAGGATGTGTGAAATGGGTTTTTACTAGTTTTTTTTAGCTTTTAATCATGTAATGCATAAAGCTGATAGTTTTTAAAAGCGGGCAAAGCGTGTTTTAAAGAGGAAGGTTCTACCTAAAACTGTTACAATTTTAAAGAGTCTGAGCAAGTCAGAATGGTTTAAAAAATCCCAAATGTTATTCCCCATAAGGTTCACGTCTGATTTTGTCTAGCGCTTACCACAAGAAATATATTATTCAGGGTTTCCTACCGTCCTCCTGTGTAGCCTGGTTACGTTCGGTGTGCTAGGTCAAGTCGCTGTGCATGTGGTATGTGCGTTGGGAAGAGGGGTGGTAGCTGAAGGGCTGCAAATTCGGAAAGTCTAAATAATCTAAAAGTCTAAAATAGTTTTCAAAAAGGTGATGGGAACAAGGTTTTGGAAACAAAAGGCTAATCACATTCGTAGGTTAGTTAAGAAAATAAGTCTGAACACAAGTGAAATGAATGAATGAGAATGTTTTAAGAAGAAACGTTTAGCATATAACAAACCACTTTCTGGAGAACATAAGGAAGTTTAAATATTGGGCAGAAAATCCTTAGTTTGTCATCTCAGTCATTTTCCTTAAAAAATTTACCAGGAGCCCTTTTACAATATGTTTGATAGTCCTGAGTTAAACAGTCATTCAAAACTGTAAGGAGAATAGCTGAATTGACTTTGATGATATCACTTTTTATTACCAATCAATGATTTTGTAGAGACCATAAATAAATATATATACACACTAAAAAAAAATTTTGACTGGAATGGTGAGGCAATACTTCATGTACGAAATGGCCACAGAACAATCCCATTAAAATATAGTCTTTCTTCTTGTGTTTAATTTCCTAGTTTATATTTAACAGATTGAAACCCAAATAAAGACAGATTCTAAATCCACTATGAAGAAAAGAGTTCATCACAAACGTGGGAGTCAGAGGAAAACAAATGTCAGGGACCCCCGTAGTGTTGCAGGTGTGCCATTAAGGCACCGGAGGACAAGCTGTAGAGCGAAGGGAACATCACTCACCTCTTGAGACAGGGTACAGTACGTGCATCAGGTAACTGGTGAACCGTCATTTCAACCTACTGTTCCGTTGTTTGCACTGATGTTATGGAAATGATTTCTGAAGTTATACAGCTGTGTGTGCTGAAAAATAACATTTCCCCCCTTTTTTTTTTCTTTTTTTTTTTTTGTTTTGTTGTGGCAGCATAGAGGACATGGAATAGTTGTAGCAAATAAAGCATATGTTTGCTTTTGCCAAAGGTCAGTGATTGAGTGCATTTGCTGCAATGGTGGCAGATAGAGAAATACTGTAGGTTATGACTTAAAGAATTTAAAAAAAAAAATTAAGAAGGTTACAGTGTAACTATTTTGGTACTAGCACCAGTTCATGCTGGCAGAAAAGACAATGGTTTATGGACTTGCATCCATTTTGTATTTTTGTAATATTTGTAAATACGAACTTTTTAAATTGTTGCAAAGATGGTTTCTTTTGTAAAATGTTTTCAAAGTTTACATTAAATCCAAGCCTTTGTATATTTTAGAGCTGTGCAACACTTTAAGTCTTGTATTTATTTTTAGTAAAAACGGTGACAGTTTCATTGTGAACCCCTCTCAAAAAATGTGTCGGAAAAGTTTGATTACCTAGAAAGTGTGTATAGAAACTGCAAATAAACATGACTGCAATTAAATCACATCTTCTCTTTCCTTTCTTGTAATGAAATATGAAGTCTGATCTACAGACTACAAGTATGCTATTTCCAAAGGGAAGTCTCAGCACATTACACATTTCAAACCATGTAACCATATTTTCTCTTGAAATTACATTTTTTTAAAAACTGAGTAAGGGGAAATCTGTATCCAAACTGTCATTGACTTTAAGTGGAGTTTTCCTCACAAGTACAATTTTGCCAGAATATAAAGACTGCTGAATTTGCCACACGTCTTTTACATGTAAGAAAAAGGAACCTGGGATGAATAATAGTGGCAAGATGGCTACTTTATCTTCAGCTGGAAAACAAAACAAATTGCAACACTTCAGACCCAAGGCATAGAGAATCCAGTGACTAAACCTTATCAGATAAAGCAAGTCATGGGCAAAAGGCAGGCCATAAATTACGAACACAAACTTAGAAGTGCAAACACTGTTTTAAAATGGTTATCAGGAGGCAGAGAAGTCAGGACGTGGAAGGTAAGTGGTTTAAATGATAGCCTCTGCAGGTCTCTTTGAAAATTGCATACCTGCAGGAAAAGGGGAGGGAAAGATGGGCATAGTGAAACTCTGGTTTCAGCTGTCATTTTGTCAGTAGCTTTGCAACACTGTACTTGGTATTTAAAAAACATATGGAAAAAAAAAAAGTGAAATGCGCAGGCTGGTGCCTTAGAGTGAGTGGAAGAAATCAGCTGTGGGGAGTGCTACTAGGCATCTGCAATCACGCTTTGCAGGGATATGAGGATTGCCCCAATGGGTGTGGTCCTAGAGTAGTCTCCAAGCGGGAATCAGATCACGTAACATTTGGTTTAACCAGATGGTCAAGCGGTTAATGATTATGTAGATAATTTCCTGTTGGATTGTGTGCCTTTCCCAATCCAGAAATACAGATAAGCAAGATCTGTAGGAAAAGCTTAGCTGATAGAGGCAGGCACAAGCTGGTTTTCATCTGCCCACTGTCTGCCTGTGTATTTTTTTCATGCTCAGGGGAAGATGAAACATTAGACTACACAAAATGTACTCATTGATTTTTTATATATACCAAGTGAAATCATTGTAACTATTTCCAACATATGTGAAGACAGTGGCTTTTGTAAGTCTCTAAAATCCAGGCTTCCAGTGCCCCGGGAAGGGTAGCCCCTGGCCTAAGACCCCACCACCCCCGCAAGTTGCTGGCCATCAGGCTGTCCTAGCGAAGGGCAGCAATGGCCAGGGCTGATGTTGTAATGTCGCTGGTTTCAATTCAGGCCGTGTGCCTTCCCAGCGAGGGGCACTCCTGTTATCACACCAGTAAGATGAGGTGTTTCAAAGTGCAGGCTGTGCAGAGGCAGGCTGACGGCCCCTCAGGCCCCCGTAGTCCTGGGGGTATGCACAGTGACCAGGAGCATTCGGGTGGGGACACCTGGGA